CCCCGTGTTCTAGTACCTATGGAGGCCCCCCCCCCCCACTTTCTGGAAGTGTCCTCTCATTCCCAGGCAGGGAAAATCTCTTGGCCTCATTCTCTCCCCAGCTCACTCCTGTACAAACAGGCTCAAGGCTATCCTCTGCAAACAATGGTTTCCACACTCCTGTGTGCTAGGGACAGATATCCTCCGAGTCACTTGTGGAGAGCTGGGAGCTCTTTTGGAGTGACACCCGGTGCTCCCTTTAAGCTGTGGAGTCTTCTTAGCAAAAATTCCGCTTTGTGAGCTGCTGGCATTCAAGTTGTGAGCGAGCAATTTGGCTCCTGCATAAATTAGTCTGCTCTGGAGCCCTCCCTTCCTGAGCTGAGACAAAAATGTGTGAGCCGGAGGCTAAAAAAACTGTGAGCTAACTCACACTAACTCAGTTCAGAGGGAACACTGGCTGACATCTGAAGCGATGGGATACGATTGGAAGTGAAAACGGTGGGATCACGGTATGCCCGTGGAAGTCTTCTTGGTCAGCAGTTCCCACCCTTTTCAGTATAGTATTCCCCAAGTCCAAATGTACTTGGTATGGTGTTCCATCTAGAGCTAGCCCAAGGTTTTTGGGTGGCCTAGGCAAACTGTGATCTGGACCAGTGGATCGTCGCAACGCTTCTCTTTTGTTTTTTTCCCCTCTGCGTTCCCCCCAAATTCCTTACCCTAATGAGTTCTGTTTTTGCTGCCAGCCGAACAGCAGGAAACTCCTGGTCAGATTCCAGGCAAAACTGAAAAACTATCCAGTCCCGGCATTGTTCAACCAGCTGCAGCTGCCCCGGAGGATGGCATTCAAGAGGGCACTGTTCCCATTGCCAGGTAATCTCAGCGTGTAGCTCTGCAGTGCTGGATAGCATCCGGTTAGAGAGAAATATCCTATCATGCACAGTGGCGGACCTACATTTTTGGGACCCCGAAGCTTGAGCTGTTATGGGGAACCCTTCTCAACCGGCTACAACAGGGCAACATCCAACAAGGTCCAAAGGGCCTGAATTGAGAACTCGGTTGTCTTTTTATGGTTCGGACTGGCCAAAGGCTGAGCTGTAGAACTATTAAGCCGTGCACCAACGAAGGATTCGAGGATCCAGCCGCCAAAAAGGAGGCTATGAAAAGATTCTGGGGAACTCGATGAGCCCAGACAGCTGTCAGTTCGGGTGCTGCAAGCCTCCGAGGAAATTTTGAAATAGAGTTGCCAAGTCCCCCCGGGGGAGGGGAAACCCCTGCCTGAGAGGCCCGTTCCCCGCCGGCAGGGATTGGACCGCTGGGGGGACCCCGCCCCCAAAGCACGTGACACGCCTGGCATAAACACGTCACCTGGAGGTGACGCAATCACGTCGGGCACGTTGCAGGGGGGTGCTCTATCATCCAAGGGAAAACTCTATGGCTTTCCCTCGAATGATTGTGGCCTCGCCCCAAAGGGCCTGACGCGATTGCGTCACTTCCGGGTGACGTGATTGCGGCGTGCGCGCGAAGTGCACAGGCCAGGAGACTCCCGGGGACGTCCGGGACTCCCCCTGCTATTACGAAGGTAGGGCTTGGCAACCCTATTTGGAAATCTGATCAATGACATGTTGAGGCCATATGAAATGGGTATCAGGGCGTATTCTAAGGTCAATATTAAGTACTTCAACTCATTGGCTGAAGAGTCTGTCACTAAAATAGCCTTATTTTAATAACAAAAGAGAGCCAGTTTGGTGTAGTGGTTAAGTGTGTGGAACCAGGTTTGATTCCCCACTCCTCCACCTGCACCTGCTGATGTGACCTTGGGTCAGTCACAAGCTCTGGCACAGCTGTCCTTAAAAAAGAGCAGTTTCTGTCAGAGTTCTCTCAGCCCCGCCTACCTCACAGGGTGTCTGTTGTGGGGAGGGGAAGGGAAAGGAGTTTGTGAGCCGCTCTGAGACTCCAAGTGAAGGGCGGGGTATAAATCCAATCTCTTCTTCTTCTTCAAACAAAAAAAAAAAGTCCATCAATTTTGTTGAAAAATTCACTCAAAAATTTTTTTATTCGTTCCGGGTCCCTTCCAGGATTAGGGGCTCTGAAGCTTAAGCTTCATTATTTTCATAGTAGATCCGCCCCTGACTACGCAGCTCCTACTTCAGGCTGGGGAAGGTGAACTGAAATACACATTGGTGGTATTGGTTCAGAATTTAGACAGGGAGATCACATCTGGATACTCTCTAGGATAGCTGGCATGTCACGGAGAAAAGTTGTTGCCTCGCTTTCTCCCATACTGGGGGATTACAGCAGAAAAGAGCAGGAGTCCAGTAGCACTTTGAAGACTAGCAAAATCTGTGGCAGGGGAGGAGCGTTCGTGAGCCACTGCTCACTTCTTCAGTTACAGCTAGAACCAAGCTAGTCATTGTAGCTGTTGTCTGAAGAAGGGAGCAGTGACTCACAAAAGCTTCTAGTGTCCTGAAATTGCTGAGCGGTCGGGTTAGAACGGGTTAGAACGGATAAAAGGAAGTACTTCTTCACCCAAAGAGTGATTAACACTTGGAATTCACTGCCACAGGAAGTGGTGGCGGCTACAAGCATGGACAGCTTCAAAAGGGAATTAGATAAGCATCTGGAGCAAAGGTCCATTACAATCTAACAGCTACCAGTGGATTGTGTAAAAAGGATGTAAATTGACTGGTATTTATTAGATTGTACAAACTGATGCTCTGTCATCTTGGTGCTGGGGGGGGTCAACAGTGGGAGGGCTTCTGATGTCCTGGCCCCACTGGGTGGACCTCCTGATGGCACTGGTATTTCTGGCCACTGTGTGATACGGAGTGTTGGACTGGATGGGCCTTTGGCCTGATCCAACATTGGCATCTCTTATGTTCTTATGTTCTTATATTCCTGGCCCCACTGCTGGACCTCCTGATGGCACCTGGTATTTTTGGCCACCATGTGTGACACAGAGTGTTTGACTCGATGGGCCACTGGCCTGATCCAACATTGGCTTCTCTTATGTTCTTATAGATAAACATATGGAGCAGAGGTCCATCAGTGGCTATTAGCCAGAAGGTGTAGATAGGAACTCTCAATCTGGGGCAAATGATGCTCTGTATTCTTGGTGCTTTGGGGGGGGGGGCAACAGTGAGAGGGCTTCTTGTGTCCTGGCCCCACTGGTGGACCTCCTGATGGCACCTGGTATTTTTGGCCACCGTGTGTGATACAGAGTGTTGGACTGGATGGGCCATTGGCCTGATCCAACATTGGCTTCTCTTATGTTCTTATAGATAAACATATGGAGCTGAGGTCCATCAGTGGCTATTAGCCACAAGGTACAGATAGGGACTCTGGGGCAAGTGATGCTCTGTCTTCTTGGTGCTTGGGGGGGGGGCAACAGTGGGAGGGCTTCTAGTGTCCTGGCCCCACTGGTGGACCTCCTGGTGGCACCTGGTATTTTTGGCCACCGTGTGACAGAGCATTGGACTGGATGGGCATTTGGCCTGATCCAACATTGGCTTCTCTTATATTCTTAAAGCTCCTCCCCGCCACAAATTTTGTTAGTCTTTCAGGTGCTGCTACTCTTGCTCTTTTTTACTGCTGCGGGCAGACTAACACGGCTCCCCATCTTGGTCTTTCTCCTTGGGGCATTACACAGCGTTAAGGCTGGCGATGAAGAAATTGAAATTGATCGGGATTTTTTTTTTCTTCCTTGGCTCCATCGTCAACCAAAAGGGAGACCGCAGCCAAGACATGTCCTCTGGACACGTTTCAGCTTGTCTATATCTCCTTCTTAAATTGCAGTGCCCAAAACTGAACACAGTACTCTAGGTGTGGTCTAACCAGAGCAGAGTAAAGGGATAACCATCCGTTCGTGTGATCTGGACACTTTCATAGAATCATAGAATGTTAGAGTTGGGAGGGACCTTGCAGGTCTAGTCCAACCCCCTGCACTCTTTACTTAGTTATGTTGACGCAGCCCAAAATTGAAAAGCTCCATCGGATACAGGTTCCGACAAGCTTTGACTCTCAAAAGCTTACACCCTGGTGCTCCTGGACTCAAATCTTGTTGTCCTGTAGAAGAACTTTCATAGCTATAACTTACTGGGAAAGAGCCGTCACCGCTTGCTTCTCATTCCAAAGGATCTTTTGGTGGGTGTTTTGGGTATCCCATTTGAAGTAGTAGGCTGAAGGGACTCTGCACTGGGGTGGGTTCGGGTCTCTCATACGTTCTGCTTACATTATGGTCCTTCCTCCTTTATAGAACACCCCAGATCATGGGGGAATCTGGTGTCAGCTGGGATGTGCAGAGAGAAGTTCACGTTGAGACCGTGGGGCCGACCTCTGTCTACACAGTGGAGAAGAGTGATGCAAGTAAGATGGCCCACTACGTATTCAAGCTTGAAGTCAGCATGAACACACACATGAAGCTGCATTACATTGAGTCAGACCCTTGGTCCATCAAAGTCAGTGCTGTGCACTCAGCACTCAGACTGGCAGAGGCTCTCCAGGGGTACAGGTGGCGGTCTTTCACATCACCTGCCCCCTGATCATAGACATCATAGAATGTTAGAGTTGGAAGGGACCTTGCAGGTCATCTAGTCCAACCCCCTGCACTCTGCAGGAGCATAGTCGAAAGATAGCCCGATGACATACCCGAAAGATAGTCGTCCAGCCCCTGCTTGAAAATGTCCAGCGAAGGAGCCTCCACCCCCTCCCGAGGCAGTCTGTTCCACTGCTCAACCACTCTCACAGTTAGGAAGTTTCTCCTGATATTTAGCCAGTATCGACTCCCTTGTAATTTCCACCCATTAGATCTAGTCTTGCAATCCGGAGCAAGAGAGAATAGATCCGCTCCATCTTCTACATGAAAGCCCTTCAGATATTTGAAGACTGCAATCGTGTCCCCTCTAAGTCTCCTCTTTCCCAGGCTAAACATACCCAACTCTCTCAGCCTTTCCTCCTAAGACTTGGATCCCAACCCTTTCACCATCCTGGTTGCCTTCTTCTGGACATGCTTGTCAATATCCTTCCTAAAATGTGGTGCCCAAAACTGGATACAGTGCTCCAGGTGACACAGTACTCCAAACTGGACACAGGACTCCAGGTGAGGCCTGACCATAGCAGAATAGAGGGGAACTACCACCTCCCGTGATCTGGATGCGGTGCTTCTCTTAATGCATCCTAAGATTGCATTAGCTTTTTTCGCAGTCACATCGCACTGCAGGCTCATGTTTAGCTTGTGATCATTAACTGGAGATGCCGGGGATAGAATCTGCGATCTTCTGCATCTCAAGCGGATGCTCTATCACTGAGCCACGAACCCTCCCAAACAGCAGAAGACATTAGCAAATCAAGTTGCCCTATACTCAATCAGTCCATTAAGGTGTTGATGGACAGTGGTAGAAAAACCCAGTGTTCTGGATGAGTACATTTAGGCCATATTCAGATGTTGATGTGCACTTAAGAAACCCTAGACATGAAGTCCTTTCCGCATCTGCCTGCCACTCCGAATTTTCACAGTGTTCAAGTCGAGGCAATTTTGGACAGTGGTAGAAAAACCCAGTGTTCTAGATGAGTACATTCAGGCCATATTCAGATGTAGAGCCAGTTTGTGTAGTGGTTAAGTGTGCGGGCTCTAATCTGTGAGAACTGGGTTTGATTCCCCACTCCTACACTTGCAGCTGCTGGATGACCTTGGGCAAGCCATAGTTCTGTCACA